ATGAATATGTTAACTAGCAGTGTCTAATTTTTATATATATATTTGTGACTGTCGTTTGTCTGTCTGTCTTTCTGTCTGTCTGTCTGTCTGTCTGTTCGGGGTTGGCGGCTACACTAGGTCTGCCCCGAGTCCGAAATTTGTGGTATAGGGGTAGCTCGGACCGGGGAGTAACATAGGCCAGGTGGTGTTAGTCTACCACTTCCGGTTTCGGAGTTATGACCCCCGAGCGAAGTCTGTCTGTTCGGGGTTGGCGGCTACATCTGCCCCGAGTCTGAAATTTGGGGTATAGGGGTAGCTCCGACCGGGGAGTAACATAGGCCAGGTGGCGTTAGCCTACCACTTCCGGTTTCGGAGTTATGACCCCCGAGCGAAGTCTGTCTGTTCGGGGTTGGCGGCTACATCTGCCCCGAGTCTGAAATTTGGGGTATAGGGGTAGCTCGGACCGGGGAGTAACATAGGCCAGGTGGCGTTAGTCTACCACTTCCGGTTTCGGAGTTATGACCCCGGAGCGAAGCCGGTCTGTTCAGGGTTGACCGCTACACAAGGTCTGCCCCGACTCTGAAATTTGGGGTATAGCAATAGCTCGGACCGGGGAGTAACATAGGCCAGGTGGCGTTAGTCTACCACTTCCGGTTTCGGAGTTATGACCCCCGAGCGAAGTCTGTTCGGGGTTGGCGGCTACACTAGGTCTGTCCCGAGTCTGAAATTTGGGGTATAGGGGTAGCTCCGACCGGGGAGTAACATAGGCCAGGTGGCGTTAGTCTACCACTTCCGGTTTCGGAGTTATGACCCCCGAGCGAAGTCTGTTCGGGGTTGGCGGCTACATCTGCCCCGAGTCTGAAATTTGGGCTATAGGGGTAGCTCGGACCGGGTAGTAACATAGGCCAGGTGGCGTTAGTCTACCACTTCCGGTTTCGGAGTTATGACCCCCGAGCGAAGCCGGGTATCCTGCTAGTATAATATAATATTATTAATGGTTACTTTCATATAAAGGGTGTATGGTTCTATTGTTGGAACCTCAAAATAGACGAACATTAGTCTAAAAGCACATTTTATTGTAATATATGAATGTATGTAAAGTGATTTATATTCATTTTTTTAGAAAGCATTGTAATTTCTAATCAGTTATGTTTGGTGCAATACGTAAACAGTCCCAATTGAACGACAGTCATTCATGTCTGTTTAGTCCCATCTTCAAGTTTTTTTTATAATGAGTGTGTCGTTTGTTAACAAGCCAACTACAACTACATTGTCATGTGGGTAAAGTTTGTTTTTGTTTGTTACAATTGGCGACTGAAGCAATAGAATACACGACTCATGTACTGATTTTACAATGTTCATTATGTCTTAAATATTGGATATAAGGATCCCATATTTTGAAGACAAGATAACCAATATTGATTGAAATTGACTAATATTAAATTTTAATTCGTGTTTTTAATTTCGAATTAATTGAATAATTGAATTACATGTTTAGCTCTTTTATGATCAGTGATCATTTACGTTGTCTATTCTGTCCATGTTTACATAGTATAACAGAAAAAAGATTGTCTCTAAATATGCGAGTTACCTTGAGATGTTGCTGATATAAACAATAAGAATAATGCAGTTTGATAAACAGTTAAACTTATTATTATATCGCCTGTTAAATAAATCATACGATTGTGTGAACATATCTATGTAGCTTCTCTTACCTGACAATAATATTGATATAAACAATAAGAACACATTCGGGTAAGCAGTCGTATGCACACCTAACTTCTATCAATTAAACAAGGAAGGACAATACCTCTAAATATCATCGTCACCTACCCATATCTATAGCAAGAGTTCGTATAGTTGTCAATACAAATAATGCAAGTCAGAGACAAAGCTCTGACTTAGGAAATGGTTACAATATTTTGTGTTCATGGTTCGGTGATAGTGACTCTTTGTAAACAAGTAAAACCTTTTGTTGCAAACTAATAAATTTATTAAATCATAAATATTTCCCCCAATTGACTTCAATGTTACATTCATGACATATCATGGTTTGAAAATTCCAATGACGATCTTTTAAAATCTTTATAAGCACAAAGACACCAATATGTCACAATCACCTGATATATTGAAAGGGTTTTGCCGTTTCGATTTTTGCAAGGCTTGCTCAATGGAATCTATAGACAGCAGTGTGATTATTTCAAGCATCAACTACGTTTTCCAGAGTTATGTCCCCTAGTATACGAGCAGTTATAAGATTAAATTAATATTCTATATTTTACCAATAAAATACATATTATTATCACCGTCATATATTATTATCAAGAATCCATACACGCTTAAAGGTTGTATGGTTCAATTTTTTAGAACTTTAAAATAGACGAACATGCCCCTAAAAGCACATAATTGTAATATACGAATAAAAATAGAATGGCTAGAACTATAGCTGGCTTTTACGCTGTAACTTACATAATATTAAAATAACCTACTGAACACATAAAATATATTTCATAATCATAACATTTGTCGTGAACCTTTTATACACTGGTTGTATAAAATGTTAATTAATTTTGAACTAAATATTCCGAACTAGTAATGATGACGTTTTCATGAATTAGAAGGTGTAGCGATTTTCCAGAAGCTTCCCCACCAAATAGATATCTCTTTCTGAAATAAAGTTTCATGTGTCTGATGGTGTGTGCTTCTGCTTACTGGTTTTATATGATGCTATAGAAACTTCACTAATATTTTCGATAGTCATATATTATGCAACACAAGCCTTCATTTTGCTAGTAATGTAACCAATCTGTCCTTAATTTGAAATTTTAATCCTATTATCTAGATTAATGGAATTCGGGTTTATGGTATGTCTATTAATATGTTGTTCCTATTACGGTCAATCTGTTTTTGAAACCTTTCACTGCATGTATTTGACGATCATTGTTCCATGCATTCCTTTTCAGTTTTAAGACGTGGTATGTTTCTATCGAAATAGACAAGTTAATGCGTAAATTGAATAGATGTCGCCCATTCAGCGTGTAGTAGGTCTTTATATGACTGTGTAACAAAAGAGTGGTCACCCTTATTTGGTTATAGCTACAAATCCAGTAAGGCAATGGACGTATTTCTTCGCTTCATCAAATTTAGATTATGGAGTAGAACAAGATTCCAATTAATAAGAAAGGTATTAAAAAAAATTCTATCATTTTAATGATTTTTACATTGTTACACATTTGTAATCACCAAAAAACTTCATTTAAAAAGAAACGTATTAAAAGAAAATGTATACTTTTTATGAGGTTGGAATTGTTGCATATGCATTAAGGATCTTCAAATATATATACATGTAAATGGATTCATAGTTTAAATAATAGTAACAAATAAAACTAGCTGAATATTTAGAAAACAACAAATTTTGTCCTAGCATGGTGTTGGCCGTTAGATTTCCACGGGATTTTCAACGTAGTTTTCTGTTGTCTGGGTTTGCGTGCCGGAGGACCTAATTAGGGACAACGTCTATGGCGGGGTATCGAGTTCAAAATGCAATCTAGAATAAAAAGCTGAAAGTCAACAGTAAAAAGTAGAAAATCTAAAGTAAACGGGAAAATTCTTATCTAAAAGGGTATTTTTATGGCGAAAACCTATAAATTTATGTACTTAGTCTGCAGAAACATCAAGCTTTTCAATTTTCATGGACATAATATCTACTTTCAACTATCAACTTTTGACTTTCGACTTTCCGCTTTCCGCTTTCTACTGTCAACTTTTGACTCTCGACTTTCCACTTAAGATTTTCTACTCACGATTTTCTAACGCAGATTTTCTCCAATACTATTGTAGCCGATAGTGGCCATGTAATTTTTCGCCATTTTCATAACCCGTCAAATGAAATGAAATGAAATGAAATGGGGTTTAACGTCCTACTGTTCTGCTCCTATGCTGGACTAATGAAGACGGGCATACGCCATACAGTGTGCTATGAGGGAAATTTTGCCCGGGCAGCGGCACTATCGCCTACTCTTATATCGAATTCCAACTGCCAAGGGATCTTTTACGTGCATTCTAATGTATACACGGGACCTCAGTTTTTCGTCTCATCCGAAGGACATAACCCGTCAACACGACATAACGACAGTATTAGTGAGAGCGTACGTCAAAGTAGACTTGGATATTATAGAATTTTGGCAAGCGGAATCTTTCACATCCGTATCGCGTATCCGTATCGTATATGTGATACGTTGCGTCAGTGTAGTTTTAGAGTTTTGACAGACGTTCGTGCCGCGTACGTATGAGTAGTTGAGCTTAGCTTAGTTCTTAGACAAACAGGAAAAATATGAAAATACCGAGAAAAACTTATCAAAAATAATGATTAAATTCCCGTCTTTATCATGGTTAAAATCACATCAAATATACACCTTCGTGTTCTAGGATACACATAGATTCATAAAAACGCTAAGCAACAACATTTCAGCGTATAAAAGTAGCAAAAAAGGCGATAAAATGACGACGATGTTATACGGACCCTTTCCGTATGAAAGCTGTTCGATACGTGCTGCCGCACACATTGATGACGTCACATACAAAATCCATATGGATACGCGATGCGGACCAGGAATTTACGCTTGCCAAAAGTCTCTAATATCCAAGTCTACTTTGACGTATGCTCTCACTAATACTGTCGTTATGTCGTGTTGACGGGTTATGAAAATGGCGAAAAATTACATGGCCACTATCAGCCACCATAGTATTGGAGAAAATCTGCGTTAGAAAATCGTGAGTAGAAAATCTGAAGTGGAAAGTCGAGAGTTAAAAGTTGACAGTAGAAAGTAGAAAGTGGAAAGTCGAAAGTCAAAAGTTGATAGTAGAAAGTAGAAATTATGTCCATGAAAGTTGAAAAGCTTGATGTTTCTGCAGACTAAGTACATAAATTTATAGGTTTTAACCATAAAAATACCCTTTTAGATAAGAATTTTCACGTTTACTTTAGATTTTCTACTTTTTATTGTTGATTTTCTCCCTTTTACACTAGATGGCATTTTGAACCCGATATCCCGCCATAAACGTCTGGTCATTCGGTTGTGACAAATCACGTAGTTTTTACGGTTGCGCTTACTATATGTTAAACATTAATCAATACAGTAGATCTCCCTCCCTACCCCGATCAGTTGCGATGGCTGCTGTTGGCTGCACTTCGAGTGATTCTGGCTTAACAGGATGTATAGAGACGTGGTCAGCATCGAAAAAGCGGTTACTATTTTCTATATTACCACTTTTGGTGGGTATTGCATAAATGAGATTAACACCATTTTCAGAAGCAACCCTATTAGACCCATTATCACCTAGAGTATCAAATTCATCCTCGTCATTATCCTGAAAGTTAGCACCGGTCTGAGAGAAGCCAGGATTTATTGCTGATATTGGTGTCTCCAGATGTTTATCATTCCTTTGCTCTTTCGTTTTCAGTTTGCTTAAAAATAAACATAAAATCACACCGGTTTAATTTAAAATAGCACAACCTGTTAGATTTAGACTCCTATAAATTATTAAATCAGATTTATCAAGTATATTGGGGTTTTTTGTTTTCGAGTTAATAACTTTCTACGATTGTAGTTTTATTCAAGTTTCGATTTACCTACAGTGTTGAAAAAAAAAAATTATTTATATCTCAAATCATAAAAGATCTTTGGATGTAACATATCTTGCAAATGTATCAAATCATCAATGTTTGTGAATACGAACAGGCAATACATACCTTATTTACAACATTACGGTGTTGAGCATAAGTTCAAGGAGATTAATTGAATTAGATTCCGATAAGATGAACTATGCGAAATTATAATATGTTTTTTATTGAAATAGGACACGAACTATTGGTGGTTGTTTATATTAGATTATAACAAATATTGTACTTACCAAATACACATGGTAATGATGTAAATAATAACAATAACAACAGTTATACTCAGTACCACAATAATAACAACGTCAACTAGTCGTAAAAGAGAAACAAGAAATCATTTAGTCACTAAACAATTCGTCATCTTTCTTGAGATAATAAATGAATATTATATTATCTTGGTTTAACAGCCCCCTTAGTCTTGATAATTTTAAAAGTTTTTATTTAATATGGTTGTTCCAAGTATCCTGTCTGCTTTCAGAAAACCGTTGAATTTCATATATGAAATGCAATGACATGGGGTTTAACGTCCTACTGTTCTGTTCGGACTGAGCTAATGAAGACGGGGAATTTCATATATATTCAATAAAAAAATATTAAAACATGTAATGCATCAGAAACAAATACAAAGTGCAATTATGATTTAAAACTTTACTACTACATAGGAAGTCACTATCCCACTGAGTACAGAAGGGAAAATAATCATAGGAAGTCACTATCCCACGGAGTACAGAAGGGAAAATAATAACACCCTAATTCTGCTTTTGATAGTCACATATTCCAGAGAGAGAGAGAGAGAGAGAGACGCACAGAGAGAGAGAGAGAGAGAGAGATGGTGTCCACTCAACACAAACTAGGTCATTCTACGCACAAGAATGGGATCGAACATATAGCACTTCACACAATGACATAACTCATTGGTCTAAAGTGCATGCGATAGACCACTCTGCCACCCATCCCTTTATACCAGTTGGGGTTTGTTTAAACAATAAAGATAAAGTACCCTGTGATAGTGATGCTCCATGGGATTCTGAAGATACAGGCGTGGTGATGGAGAGGCCATTAATCGTCTCGATGTTTAAAGACGATTTTGGTATTTCAGTTGATGTTCTATCATATTTTATTGTTGAACTATCTGTTGTTGGGAACACGGTTATATCAGTTCCAACTGAATCTGTTGGTGATTCGATATATTCAACCCGTGATTCACAGCTAATACTGAAGTTAATTTTTGAAACTAAAAAGAAAGGGAAAATAAAAATTCTCATAACTATGCATTACAATCATATTAAAATGTATTTATAATTATGTATTATTCTACTACTAGCAGGATACCCGGCTTCGCTCGGGGATCATAACTCCGAAACTGGAAGTGGTAGACTAACGCCACCTGGCCTATGTTACTCCCCGGTCCGAGCTACCCCTATACCCTAAATTTCAGACTCGGGGCAGACCTAGTGTAGCCGCCAACCCCGAACAGACCGGCTTCGCTCGGGGGTCATAACTTCGAAACCGGAAGTGGTAGACTAACGCCACCTAGCCTATGTTACTCCCCGGTCCGAGCTACCCCTATACCCCAAATTTCAGACTCGAGGCAGATGTAGCCGCCAACCCCGAACAGACAGACTTCGCTCGGGGGGGGGGGGGTCATAACTCCGAAACCGGAAGTAGTAGACTAACGCCACCTGGCCTATGTTACTCCTCGGTCCGAGCTACCCATATACCCCAAATTTCAGACACGGGGCAGACCTAGTGTAGCCGCCAACCCCGAACAGACCGGCTTCGCTCGAGGGGTCATAACTCCGAAACCGGAAGTGGTAGACTAACGCCACCTGGCCTATGTTACTCCCCGGTCCGAGCTACCCCTATACCCCAAATTTCAGACTCGGGGCAGACCTAGTGTAACCGCCAACCCCGAACAGACAGACAGACAGACAGACAAACGACAGTCACAAATATAGATATAGATAAGAATGAAGAAAGGGTTTAACTGTTATTAAATACTAACTTCGGAATTAAAATGGATGAACACTTCCCTGATTTCGTATTTAAAGAGTAACGGGACACTTACTTTTTATTCTTGATAAAATAGCAATATTCTATATTAGCATTTCAAATTTCACAATCGAAATATCAAAATATTTGATTAAATGTATACCTGATTGGACTTCAATGCATCCTGTAAAATCTGTATTCTGTAAATTTATTTTCTGTAGCAACAAATGTGTCGTCTGGTTTGGATTTACATGGAATATCAATAGATCCCCCCTGTCTGCACAATTATACTGACCACGTGACCCCACGTTTGCTACAGTAAAATCATATATACACCAGTTTGACTGAGAATTTTTGGGATCAAAATTCACCAGGTAGTCGGACTTGGTATGGTCAGGTTGTATTAATTGTAGTATACAGGAACAGTTGGTTATATTATCTCCAGGTTTAATATTTATATCTAAATATAATCTAGATCCTGTCTTTACTTCATTACTACACATGTTGACTAAAGGAGCTGAAAATTAACAGAAAACTATATTATTAAAATGTGCATTGTTATTTCATTACCACACGTTGATCACAGTAGCTGATAATACACACCATGAAGGGGTACCGTTGGGCACTATATTGATTTTAAGGCATTAGAGATAACTCAATGTTATTATAGAACATGTATAGTATCTAATACAGATCCAGACAGGCTTTCATTAAAATGGGTAGATTTAACTAAATATGTGTTGGTTTGTTTTGAAAATTAACCTTTTGAAATGGTTTGAAATACATATAGTTTAAAAATCAGAAAGACTAAAAAGAAATGAATCGAAATTATAATCTTATTTTGACCGGGCTGTGATGGTAATATTCCTAGAACTTCTTCGCCCTCAAACCTGGCTCGTGGTTGACACACCTCTCTCAGATTTTGAAATGAAAAGAAATGGGGTTTAACGTCCTACTGTTCTGCTCCTAACCTGGGCTAATGAAGACGGGCATATACGTCATATAGTGTGCTATGAGGGACATTTTGCCCGGGCAGCGGCGCTACGGCCTACTTATATCGAATTCCAACTGCCAAGGGATCTTTTACGTGCACGCCAATGTGTACACGCGACCTCGGTTTTTCGTCCCATCCGAACGACTAGATAGCTGTCCTTGTCAGGCCCTCCATCCTGCATCACTGACAAAGGGAAACCACGCTGGAAAATCTGAATGAACTTTCTCGGCCAGCGTCTTACCCACTTAGCCACGTGATCCCCCTCTCTCAGACTAGGATGGGTATTTTGACAACACCAGATCTGAACAATATGTTTTGCACCGTCGTATAAAAAGTTTCAAAACAAAGTGGCTTTGTAAATGGCTTACCATTATTGTTGTCTGGACAGCTATTTCCTGTAAAAGAATTAACACAATATTTTAAATGAATCCCATTATCATTATATAAGTCAATCACATTGAAAACCAAACCCTTGAGATATTTCAGCATTCCGTAGCAGCATTAAGGCCATTTAGGTTAGAAATTATTGGGTACATGTAAGTATTAGATCTTTAATTCAATTGGAAACCGTAAAATCAATTAAAATGCTGAATGAAAAAGTTCGGTTTGTGATTTTTCTTCACTGATTGCAGTGGGCCTGTCTTTAAATTTTTAAATATTAAGTGACTGTTGCGAGTATAATAACCTAATTTATAAGAATAATACGGGAAAGAATTATATATTCTTACCATGTATTCTGGATAGAATCAGTAAAATTGTTAAAAGTAACACAATTATAGACACGTCCATTGCTCAGTTACCTTCGATACAGGTGAAACAGGATGTATTGAAATGTTGAGTAATTTCCTTTTTATTATTCGTATTCTGATATTTATAAAAAGCTTTAGAAACGTGAAAAGGATATCAATATTCATGGCTATTGAATAACTTTACAGCTCTTAAACTCGGTAAATAACGAATGTCTCTTTGTTAGTTGGTAGGAAAGTTAAAGAAGAATAATGTGATCATTTTACTTTGTATTCAACCCAGAAAGTACTCCTTCGAATGTCACGGCCAAGCAATCCTTTAAAGTTACTGCCAGTTTTAATCTCACACTAACGACTAGACAGATTAGAATGATGGCCCACTTTCACTACATTCAACCCTATGAGTTTAGAACGGTGGACTTTAAAAAATTTGAGTTTACAATTGAAAGTGTAGATCCGGATTTAACATTTAAAGTAGCCAAACTCCTTTAGGTCAAAAAAGTATTGAACTGGATTGAACTGATATTTCGATTAAAGATGTGCTCGTTTCAGAGCGAAGTTATCAGCCTTTAAAGTGTGCACAATATAGTCTCGATCATCAACAAAGTCTCGATTATCGATTTTTATACGCCCACATTTTCATGTGGACGTATATTGTCGTGGCCCCAGTCAGTCGGTCTACAATTTGTTTCTGGACACACTACAGGTTACAATTTTTATCCGACTTTGACGAAATTGGAATGTATTATACCATAACTTCATGGATTATGACCCCTGATTGTAGAAAAATCACGTTTTTAGCTTGTGGGCACTCTAGAAGTCACCATTTTCATCCGATTTTGATGAAACTTAATATTTATGTTTATAACACACCGATCCCGGTTTCTGACCGGGCATATCCGAACGTAACTTCCTGGATTATAGACCCTGATTGTTCGGAAAATGACATTTGTAGTTTATGGACTAGCTAGAAGTCTCATTTTGTATTCAGTGAAGATTCAGTCCAAATTTCGTAAATATCTGACCGAAACTGCCGGACAATATGACCGATCCTGGTACGCAAATAGTGTAAGAGTATGTAATACCAAGGATATGGACCCTCTAGAATTCACAATTCTTACCTTGAAATGTATGTTTATAACACAAAGATCTTGGCTCCGTTCGATATTCGCACATATTAGACTGTAACTTCCTGGATTATGACCCCTGATTGTACGAACAATCGTGTTTTTAGCTTGTGGATCCGCTAGAGGTGAAAATTTTAACCGATTTTAAAAACCGTTTAAATATATCACCGTTCCTCCATAATGAAGGTTGAGTCGAAATTTCGGGAAAATCGAAATGAAACTACCAGACAAAATGGCCACTCCCTGTACGCAAATTGTGTAAAAGTATATAATAGGAATTAGGTTGTGGACACTCAAGGGGTCACACTTGTTATCCGATTTTGATGAAACTAATAATGTATCTTTATATCGCACAGATCTCAGTCCCTTTCGACATTGGGACAATGACCCCTGATTGTACGGAAAAAAAATCAATTTTTTGGAGCCTGTTTTCTATCCATCTCTTGCTGGTTAAATTAAACTGTTAAATGCAGATCGTGTTTCAATGCATTCAAATTCGCCACCATCCCATTATGTAGAAAGTTGTCATGATACAAAATAAACGAAATACAAAATTATTAGGATTATATATATTTTCATAATACAAAATAAACGAAATACAGAATGAAAGAACCTGCAACACTGTTAGGAGTATACAGTACTTATAATAAACCATAAGCGAAAGACAAATAATAATCTCGTAATTTAAAATAAAAGAAATACTACATTAAACAATTGTAACATTGTTAGGATTATAATCGTAATACAAAATAAAAGAAATATTACATCAAACAACTGTACACTGTTAAATTATATAGTACTTTTAATAAAAATAAATAAAAGAAATACTGCATTAAAGAATTTGTACGGGTGTCAGCCATTTTAAAAATAATATTGCCGCATAGAATCAACATCATATAACGGTGTCATAAAATGATACTATATAAACCAGATTATTATATTCCAAATACCGTACCTAGTTACTTCTAAATCCACTAATGAAACCATAAAAGTATATTATTTGAAATTTACAGAATGAAGTCATAGGGTTAATTAGTAAAATATTTAGACATTTTCTTTATCCAATATCAAGGCTAGACCTTCGTTGCTATGCTCTGGGACTGTTTGACTTGCAGCAATATTCTCATAAGATGCTGACATTGATGAAGTCAGACTTTCATAAGCCTGGTCGGGGGATGTTGGTAGGTTCGGGGTTCTATATATATATAAAATAATTAAAGTACTAAAATGGACAGCTGTTGTCATTTGTTTATATTTGTATTCAGATTGCATTACAATAGTTTCAGATACTGACAACAAGAAACACAAATCAAATAGATTTTAAACATAGTAAATATGTAATTAGGAAACTAAAGGCAAACGGAAGCGGCTGGTCTGGGTTTCTCTTTTAACAAGGGTTGAAACATTTACAAGTTCCTGAAAAATATGAAATAATGTCGGAATAAAGGTAATCTAATACAATTTATTATTGAGGTAAAGACAAAATACCAAAAACTCTTGAGTACAAAAAGTATTGATCCAAAAGATCCGACGGGGTCAGATAGCGATCGTTTCAAAAAGAACTATATAAACCTTCGGTTTTCACTTAGACTGTTATATAATAATGTTTAAAGGATCTAAATCGCTAATATTTTGGACCTAGAAATTGGCACAAATGGGTCGCAACACATATAATAATGTAATATGAATTTATATAAACTGTTTTACATTCAATCGTGTCCGTTTTACTGTGAATTGTCATCAGTTATGTTCGGCGAAATACGCCAGAAGTCTCAACCGCAAGTCAGTTTCTAGCGTCTGTTTATTCCAGTCAACACCGATATTATTTATTGCGCATGCTCTCCAAATAAGAACATGATATCACCGTTTGACATGACTTGTGGAATATGTCTAGCCTCATTCTTTGAGCACCTTGTTACAAATGGCGCTGAAACGCATTATGGTACACGATTCGTGTACCAATGGTAAACTGTTTATTTTGTCTTAAATATTGGATATCAGAGGCGCATCTTTTGCAGGTATGATCACAACACCAATGCTGATTTAAATTGCAAATAAAATCGTGTTTTCAATGTCGAAGATTTTTGATGATATTGAGTTACGGACTTAGCTACTTTAAATATGATAGTTTGTTGAGTTATATAAACCAAGTGTCCTTGTTACGGGTCATCAAAAACTAATAAATGATCTGAAAATCTGTTTTTGTAGTAATAATAACTCACCAAAGACACACACCAAGAACAGCACAACCTACAACGGCTACGACACCCACCAATCCACCAACTGTAATATACAACAGTATGTTAAATTGTCAAGAACATCTGTTAACATTTCTGATTTAATTGGAGAGTTCGTGGTGGTAACTACGTTTTCTACTAAACCATCTAAGATTTATCAGATCTAATAATCTGATAATTGAATTTCTGAATTCCGAGCTATACTGGAAACTGTTCCACCACTATATTGCACATGTGGTAACCCGGATTTCCACTGTGCATTGTCAATACAGCGAGGGATGCGCACATTCTTAGGCCTATCCTGAAATTCTTGTAAACAGCTCAACCATTTTTGTTGATTGTTGGACTAGAATCGACGCATTGAGTTTGAATTAACATGCATTGCCTGATTTTTTCCAATATGCATGGCCTAGTGGCGTTGGTATGCACGGCGTATAGTTTATAGTATGCTATTTCAAGTTTGTGTGTCTAACAATTTCTGTGGGCAACCCCATACAATTGTTGGAGCTAAGACATGGCCAGTTGATCCGCTGTCTGTAATGAAAAGCATTCAGCCCAGCGTGAGATCCATACGACATAAACTATGTAATGTCGGAATTAACAAATGGTTCAGTTTTAATTTAGTAATTAATTTGCGCTTATGAGTCTTTAGGGGGGTAACTGGAGGACCCGGATAAAACCCACGAAGATGAACATATTTATGGCACGTCAGCACCAGATGAATATGCGACCCAGCTCCTTGTTAAGTACAAGCTGGGTATCGAACCCACGTCAGTAATTGCTTGCTGAAATTATTATAGATTCGTCTGTGTAAGTAATTGCTTGCTGAATAAATGTTTTCCATAGTTGTATATCATTATAAGGTTTGATTTGTGTTTATTTATTTACTATTATACGCCATCTTAGAAACATTTCAGGATAACAGTCGCTTATTGTATGACCTAGAAAAACCGGGAACCGAGTCAGACGGCAACAATAACTCTTTCAAATGAACTGTAAATTTAATTGTGGCTTTTAGTAATCACCCAATAATTACCTGGCGGGCTTGTATTTTTGTTCAAAGTGGTGGTAACTTCTGTTGAACTATCGATAGAACTAAAGATCATATCATCACCAGAAGTTGTTTCTTCGGTAGATATAGTTGTTGAAGAACTGGCTTCAATCAGAGTGGGCATTTCTATAACAAAACAATTGATTATTCAAACACTACACACATTAAACATCAACACTTAACAAAATGATATGTAACTTGAAGGTTTTGAAATTAAACATACCTTAATTGAATAATTTAAACGAACATAAATAAATGACGAACTAGCAACGAATTTTATGTTGTGGGGCACTTAAAACAATAAATGAAGGTTTGCACCTAGCGAAGTATATACAGTAGTTTTTATTGACTAATACATGCACAATGCTTTGACTGACAATACTATTTTTACAAAGAAAGAAAAGATCTGCTATGAATCCTCGCGACGTTAAGATATTAGGAATCACCACTTGTGACTAGTCTAATAAAGACATGCTACCTTTCTATCGCTGTTAGATAGAACTACTAAGATATAATTAACAGAACACGGTTACTCTGTGGACATTTAGAATGGTTACAGCGTACATAACAATTACCAAGAGTAACAATTTCTAAATTAAATTCTACCCACTCGAAGGAAACATACTGGTTTGATGTGACGATATTTTGATCAAACGATCAAAATTATATTGGACATAGTTGTTTCACTTCTTCTGTTGACATTGATGTCAGTAGGTATTGGGCTGTGGGCTGTGGGCTGTAGGGTAGGGATTTCCTAGGGGTTGGATCACTATGACCAATGTTACTAATCCATACATCTTTTCAAAATTAATATGGGTTGTCGTTTTGTTTAGAGCAGTAATAGAATATAGATTAACAATATATGAATATAAATTGGCTCAACTGTAAAAAAATCAAATAAAGAGAGAGAGAAATGGGGTTTTACGTCCACTCGACACAAACAAGGTCATTTCGGGACTAACATATGGTTTTAGTTTTATTTCAATAATTCGCTTGCGCGTAGGGGTCTTTAGCAGTGGGAGGAAACCGGAGGACCCGGAGAAAACCCACGAGGTTGGACAGGCGACCATACTCCTTGTCACGTACAACCAGGGATTCAAAACCCCGCCAGTTGACTCAATGACAGGCTTTATGATACAGCGCGCACGTGCTAACCATTCGGCCATCCAACCCCCCAAAATCAAATAAAATTCTCCAAATCATGCACTTGTCTTAAAATGAATAAATGTTGTATAGCCTATTTTGAAAAATATGTCACGTTCGAAGTTGTTTCCAATTTTAATACTCCGTGTAATCATTCAACCTGACGAAGAGTGAGTCGTTTATATCAACATAGTGGTCCCGATCAGGTGCTCAATCACCAAATTAAGCAGACAGTGGCAACACCAAACTTCTTCATAATGAAATGAAATGAAATGGGGTTTAACGTCCTACTGTTTTGCTACGAACTGGGCTAATGAAGACGGGTCTTTATAATGATGGGTGCCTGGAAGAAGTCTCAAAACTCTAAATTTGTTCGATGTTCATGCTAACATGTAAAACGTTAACGAAGAAGACATTTTCTGTCTAAATAATAGTAATAAGATGAAAAAGATTTAAAATTTACCCTGAACAAATAAAGAAATTGGATTAGGTCCTATACATTGTCTTAATCTAGAAGTTACATGAATAGAAGTTATATATTAGACGATAACACATTAACAAATTTAGAATTTTAAATCAAATATACTACCATAGAGGAGTACAAGGAGAACTAAAGGAAAACTTAACTATACCTATTTTGAACCAAATAATGCGTAATATACGTGTGAAAAACTAGGCACATGAGCGATGAATATTGCAAAACTTCGTTTATATTTCTTTTAGCATAAAACTATGCAATAGCTAAACTTTCAATTCGTGACAGTAATCACCCTACACATAAGATTCCATTGGATAGTCTATATTATATTAAAGCTACCAAGTAAAAAACAAAAAAGGGTTCTTGCCAAAATAAAGTTTTATAATTTAGGCATTGTGTACTAATGATGTGTAAGGTCAGCTTTCTTTTTTGCTTTTCTATGTCTACAGACAAATCGCTTGAATGTTTGGAGATTCCATCGAATAACGTGATGATTTCTCTTTGTTTACGAACATTCGCGGTCTATTTATAATAACGCCATGGCAGCCATGCCAAAGCCGAATTTGCATAAATCCGTGTTTCCATGCCAGAACGCGAAAATCAACATGCGCATATTTCGCGCGAGAAAAACGTCATCGAAAAAGTCCAATTACAATTGCATCAGACACCTACCGAAAAAATAAAGACGGGCATGCACCATACGGTGAGCTATGAGGAAAAATGATCGAAACAGTGGTCGACGCTCTGTAGCAACTAACTTTTTAAATTTGGTGGTTGTCTTGCTATGTAATTTCAGTTTGTGATTAAAGTTTTCCTGGCAATTAGAAATATTAGATGAAAAGAAATTCTTGACTTAATCATTGTAGAAGGAATATATTATTGGAAAACAATTACAGCAGTTTTGTTCATTAAGGTGTCTAAATATATCAAGAATGAAATGAAATGGGGTTTAACGTACTTTTTTCTGCACCGATTGGGGTGTGCTATGAAGGTTATTTTGTCAGGACAGCGGCACTACTGCCTACTCATATATCGAATTCCAACTGTCAAGGGTTCTTTTACGTGCATGCCGCTTCCCACCAAAGCGACTAGACAACTGTCATTGACAGGCCCTCCGTACTGCACCATTATAAGTATAATTGTAATTGATTCATATGTTGAATATAACCTAAAAATCCAATGGGTCACATATGACAGAATATTACCGACACCCAAAACACCCAATGGATCACATGTGACCTACTCATGTTCAACAATTTATTTTTTTCGCGGAAAACATTATATATACTTAGCCAAATCTGTTCCTATGTGATGTGTTCTTTGAATCCAAATCGTATTGTTTATTCCAATGAAAAACATGTAATTTACCCAATTATGATTTAAAATTAGTAAACTTAAGAGGTACTAATTGCGCGTCGGCTTTGAATAAAGGTAACCATGTCTGGTGGTTGCTAGGTGATAGCTGAGACCTTGAAACTTGAAAAGGCATTACATCTTGTCAATTTGTTGTAAAATGTAAAATTTGGTTTATTCGGAACAATATGTTAATTTGTGTGCGGCCGTAATTAACTTCGGTCATATATGACTCCGTGGGTTTTCCACGGTTAAACAAATGTGTTAGGACTAGTACACAACTTCCCGGTAATGAGAAAAATAAAGCAACGGAAATGTGCATGTGCACACTTGTTCAGCTGTTCGGAATAAAAAAGATAGAATTAGATACCTTACCTTGTATTACAATTAATATTGATAATACGAAGATTGATAATATTATCCTTCCACTTCTTGCCATCTTAAGCTTACAGTATTATATAATGAACAGCAAACAAGCCAACTAGGAAGAATATAGTTTTGTAGATTTGACAAAAAGAGCTAATAACAAAGCTGGTATACAACCCGGTTCGATTACTTAATGGCTAATTGTTAATGGCTAATGTAATTTAAACTAGATATCTCTATCGTTCCGTGCATTCGATTGGTTACTCTCTCGGATTATGCCAGTTGACATAATTATATCTTTGTCCGTGATTATCAAAGACTAATTTTCTGTATAGCCGGTTTTAAGTGGTGGGTTTGTTTGGAGTTGACTAATCACAATCTGCGAAAAGCTAAAGGTGCTCTCTAACTGTCTGTCATGGTTTCGACCCCCTTTGTGCGCATGTAGCTTGGAGATAGGGACACCTTCTCAACCTCGTGGCTTTACTCCGTGTACAGGAATATACCTACAGGAAAGACCCCTGCGCTAAGCATAATAAACTAACATCACCACCCGTGGGTAATACGTGAAGGGATGTCGGATGGTTGTGGAAAGGAAAATTTTCTGTGGGCAAAGCCACGGTAAAAAATAAAATACATTTCAGGCCATGCGGTTTTATAAAACTTTCTTTCTTTCTTCCTAGTAACTACATTTTGAATCTTGGTCAAAGTAAAAACAAAAACAAATATAATTTTAAGACAGCAATACATTGTAGAAAACAAACTAACAAACTTGTTAAGGAAGGTTGAACATCGCAAATTGTGTGAATGGTTGTTATTCAGGTATGAGTGAAATGCGGAATTCTGGAGTATAAAAAATCACAGTGGAAGGATATATTAAATTCAGACTGTAAGCGCGCCACATCTATTTGTCGGGAGTTGCGGTGGCCGTTTGATTTTCGCGCCGGGGATTTTCACATCGTCAGTGGCGAACGACGTAGTGGCTGGTAAGAAAACGCCAAGTCGTCCAGACGAATAAACCGAGGCCAGGTCTATACCTTGGAATGCCATCTATACCTTGGAATGCCAATGGTTTGCTCTTTCCTAACCTAAACAGTTTTTGTGTATAAAATGATTATTATGTTTCAGAAAATATGCTTTAGATCTGCAACACACGGTAAACGCGTAATATTATGTTTCGAATCTATTCAGAGTAATTAGCAATATTCAGAAATTATCAAACGTCATGGAAAGTAATAACTGGCCTTTATTTTTTAATACTGCAAATCAAATGAAAAGGATATTGCACGTGAGTTTGTCCTGAAGTGTCCATTAACCAACAACACGCCGGCAAATGAAAACTGTTCTCAGTCAACCACCGAGGCACTTTTCGCACAAATTATGGACAATGAAAGAAAGAAATATTTCTAGAAATGAAAGAAATGACCATTGTCTCACAGAAATCGTATTACAAAATATTGTTCAGGCGAAACGCATCGCTGGTATATTGTGTTTCCTGCAGTCTTATCTCAAGTACCGGGGAGACTTTCATATTCGTGGACTGTGGATAATTGTTGATTTTGATGATTCGTTATCCGTTCATTTGAAGTAAGGTTTTCATAGGTTTCACCGGTGACCGTCGGTTGACAAGACACGAGATTTTCATAAGATGATATTGATGTGATATCGACTGTGGATGTTTGTTGGGGCAATTTAAGGTGTTCGTTAACCTGACGCCTTGATGATGGTGGGTTGACGTGGTGGTCGTCTTAGGTGTTGGGTTATTTTGAAGACCTTGATACGTCACATCCGTAGGCGTTATATTATTTTGTATACCTTATGAAGAATACGTGTTATCGTTCTCTGGTGGTGTCTTAGCTCTGCTACATCTAACAGATCACGCTCCCGTAAAGCAACAGCATGGATATTGAGTATTTTCTACGTTTACTCTTACTTTGCGAGAGAATTTAAAATTTCTTGACGATCGACAAATAATATTGAAATGGATGAATGCAAATTAATAGAAATAAACTTAAAGTAATATTTACTGTTATTGAATAATCTTACCAGATTAATATAGTAAGTACAACGCCACCAATAACCAATATAACACCTAACACTCCACCAATATTAAAGGCTCAATACCACTCTTGTTGTAACTGAATAATATGTCCCAATCTTTATTCTGGTCAACAAATTGTACTATTTTAGAATATTTAAATTAATTGATGATACAAATGTCATCTTAACACATCTTATTTAAAATTTTGAAAAATTCAACATAATGGTTTGAAACGTCTAACGTAAACCTTTTCAAATGAAACTTCGATTTAAAAATATTTTCGAACCCTCTGGACAAGTAAAATAGGATGTAATGGATAATTTACACAACAGGTAGGACACTTAAACATCTAGTACTTAGATAGAGATATTATTTATTTTCTGGAGCTTTCAAGCCAGCAAGAGTGTTATTGTCCCTTTAACACCAACTATAAAATATAGAAGTAAATTGAATTTTAAAAAAAGCTCCATGGTATAGTATTCAATTCATAAATGCGCTATGTAAAATAGATCTTATTGTGATCTTTGGTAAAAGGAAATTTCTTGTTCTGCTAATGCAGCTCCCTCAGCAACGACAACAAGGTGTTATCAAATTATTGGAATATGTTTTAGCTGTCGCCTGCGGACATCTGATGTATCGCTGAACTGTCTAACGCTAGCCATTATAGTTATCATGGATTCCATTCCAGGCATTAGGTGAAAAAAAATACAAAATATTCTAGTTTGTGTTAAGTGGGCGTTACCTCTCATTTATTTCTGGATGCTCTATTTGATATTTACTGTTCTTCTGCACGAATACATTAAATTCAGTTTATGAAAGCTTGGTTGAGTACCATCGCTGACTGCATCTAAATTAAGAACTCTTGAGTAACACAGTTATGGAACATAATGTATAGTATGTCATTTGTTCAACAAGGGGTATATATTTATTTTACAAATATGTAAAATATTAACGCTTTACATATACCTTGTGCTTCTGTATTATTTTCTTTATTATCCAATTCCGATGTCTGTTCCTATTGAATAATATAAACTTATAGTAGAATCAGCAATATTATCAGTTGTAGAAGTATCAAATATTAAGGTTGATGTAGAGGGAGATAGAAATGGGGTTTAACGTCCATTCGACACAAACTATGTCATTTCGGGACTAACATCTGGTTCAATTTTATTTAAATAATTCGCTTGCGCGTTGGGGTCTTTAGCAGTGGGGGTGGGAACTGGAAGACCCGCAAAAACCCACGAGGTTTGACAGGCGACCCTACTCCTTGTCACGTACAGCTGGGGAATCGAAACCACGGCAGTTGACTCAATGACAGACCTTATAATACAGCGCGCAAGCGCTAATCGTTCGCCCCCCCCCCCCCCCAGTAGAAGAGAGAGAGAAATGGGGTTTAACGACCACTCGACACAAACTAGGTCCTTTCGGGACTAACATATGGTTTAATTTTATTTCAATAATTCGCTTGCGCGTAGGGGTCTTTAGCAGTGGGAGGAAACCGGAGGACCCGGAGAAAACCCACGAGGTTGGACAGGCGACCCTACTCCCCGAAACCACGCCAGTTGACTCAATGACAGACTTTATGATACAGCGCGCGCACGCTAACCATTCAGCCATCCAACCCCCCCCCCCCCTTGTAGGGACCTTGTAGTTTGCTGTCTCTGAAATCTATGGGGAGAGCTGAAAATCCAACTATTATCATAGTATATCATAGTTATTATTTATATAAGTTTATAAATTCTAATATGACAGATGAAGAACCTTAGATTTAATTACAGATCGCCTCCTACAGACATACTGTTGATTATATCAGTCGTGTGACTAACTCTAGTATTAAATATAAAAGGAACGATAAGGAAATAATATTCACCATTATTATAATGTAGTATAGTCTTACTGCACATGTCTATACTAAGTCCATAATTACCAATAACAAATATATTATGATCACAGTCTTCGAGTATTAGTAAACAGCCTACCTACCATCAAAAATACATTCGACTGTTAGCAACGAATCAGCTAAATATTATTGTTATTCAGATTTACGGCTTTAATAGTTGATAGACTTGTCGAAAATATAGACTCATTGACTGCACACACCTCTAAAACTACAATCAATTATTATTAGACCTAATACCAAATGGTTCACAGACGATCTTCGAAATTCCAAACAAGAGTGGGGGGTAGGGTGGCCGAATGATTAGAGCGTGCGTGTTGTATCATAAGGTCTGTCATTGAGTCAACTGACGTGGTTTCGATTCCTCCGTTGTACGTGACAAGGAGTAGGGTCGCCTATCCAACCCCGTGGGTTTTCTCCGCCCCCCAACTGCTAAAGACCCATATATGCAACCAAATTAGTGGGAGAAAATTGAACCTCGCATTAGTTCCGAAATTACCTACTTTGTGTCGAGTTGACATTAAACCCACTTTCTTTCTCTCTCTATCTCCAAACAAGGGTGTAGGAAAGCCGAGAAGATTTGGAGGCGTTCAAAACTCGAAATCCATCATCAAATATATCTGGAGAAACGTATTTTAAATATGCAACAAAGACATCAGTCAAGCTATAATATAACATTTAAAGGGAGCAATCAGTAACAATGGTGACTCAAAGCTGCTGTTCAATGTCCTCAAAGAACTGTCAATGAAGGTACTGCTGATAATCTCCCAGTCGGTTATAAAGTAGCTGACCTACCTGAATTAATCTCTAAATACTTTGATCCTAAAATTCAAAACAATCGAGATCAAAATCTAGTTCTGCCTATGAACCAACTAACACATTTTATTTCAAAACTATTTCCTCCGAGCATGTTAAGAAATTAATCACTTCGGCACGAGCAAAGTCATGTGAAATGAATATAATTAATTCCAACCTGGATTCCTAAAAAGGAGTGTGTATTGCTTTGACCGTCTCTTATTTATTTGTCATCGACCCCATGGAACATTTCCTTTGAGTCTCAAAACTGCACTTGTGGGTTGGACAAGTTAATCTCAAAATGGAACATTTACTTTGTGTCTCAAAACTGCACTTGAAGTTGGGACAAGTTAATCTCAAAAGTGGAGTAACCCTAAACAAATTGCAAAAGAAACCAATGCAGTTCGGTTCAGTCATACTTACATGTATATTAAACATCGTACTCAAATTCGGCCGAAGTCGGCTAAGGCGAAATGACGTAATTAACATGTGTCTGAGAGCGATATCTCGTAACTAGTGCGTTTCAATGGTAGGACAATAATTTTTTTTTTAAATTCTTACAATTACGTAGCGGATATAGTGGGAAAATGTATTTTAAACTGGTACCGGCCATTTTTCAAAATGACTGTCAAATTTGGTATTAAAATGGCATTGTCCCCATATATAAGTAGTGACTATCTCGTAAGATATGTCTTTTATGTGGTTTTCGATGTCTCTGAATCCAACACGACAGAAATTCAAAATGGCAGCAAAAATGTAATCCAAAATGGCGGATTTTCAATTAATCGTCATTTTTGCCTGTTGGATATGAATTGCACTAAAAAAAAAAAATAACGCCAAAAAGATGTTTAGATTTCTTAAATTAAATTTTGAACCCAGAATATAATTCAGTAACCCTGGAAACGTTATTAGCTTTTAAAGCAATGTCATTATTGATTTTATTTTAATTGAATTCTTCCATTTACACTATCTGGTCTATTCAAAGTTAGATTCAACTCAGTAATCTAAAAAATTGCCTGCCATTTTGAATTTTCGAAATTTATCTTCGAAAGCCATATAAAAGTCATATAAAATACATTTTTATGCACCGAGACTAAGGGTATATATATCTTTTTTTCTAAACCTTATTGGGAATATGTAACCAAAACTACAATAAACACTTGTTTACAAAAGCATTCTAAAGAGTGAAAACTGACATATTTCAAGCTTTTCGGTGTTTCAAGAAATAATTTAGATCAGCCGGCACAAGCTTTTTGTTCATTCTTTAGGCTTAGAGCCCACAACCACGGACAATAATATCGCAAATGAGCATTCAATCTATAAAAGACTACATTCCTCCATAGAACTAGAACACTAACGGGAACGCCCACCGTGTGACGTCACTACCTTATGTGACGGCGGGCTTCTGACGCTGATATCGGGCACAGCGTACTTTCGGTTTCTGCTCGCACTAACAAAATGCTTGGCGCGAATTGTGTTTTGTTCGGATGTTCCGCCTGCAATAAAAAAAATCGGGGTTGATCATTCTATCGCTTACCCAAAAAAACATAGAGTGGAGAGAGAATCATTACGTATCATACAGTCTACCAGATCAGACCCGATAAATGACAAGACCTTGACAATATGTTCAAGACGCGTTGAGCCGGATTATTTCGTTGAAAAAGTAAGTGAAAACTCAAAAGAAATTAATTATGTAGATTCTAGTTGGCAGTCCACCCTGACAACCTACAATGAAACAATGAAGTTAAGTTAAACCCATACTAGCTGAATGTCTGTATTTTCATGTTTGCCCGTTAGATTTTACCCTTTCTCTCATCAAAGTTGTATGCATATAGTTTGTTTACATTAGTGCCGTAGCAGGCCTAGTCTACTTTCAATTTGTTATGAAATTGACGATTACTACACCCGATGAGTGTGTGACAGCATGACGATTCTCTCTCAACAATCTTCTTTTACTTTAATTTTATGAATTACTAATTATTATTTTTTTTTAAAGGTCAAAGTTTTAACTGAGCAGCTCCATAAAAATTAAAATTGTATATTTATTTATGACTGACCTTGACCTGTCAAATCCTTTTATTTTTAAATTCCGAAATAATCTTGTTCCCGGTATGAATAATCAACAAGCATGGAAAAAAAATAATTATATCTGAACCTTTTGTTTTGTATGTAGGAACCTTTTTATTTTGATTTTATGAATATTTCAGATGTTTACAAAAATTCTGGGTCCACATATCGAAGATTAAAAGAAGGGTTAGGGAGACTATCAACCTTAATTCTTCTACAGAAAAGCGTAACAACAAAGAAATTGAATCCAAGGAAGTCACCGGTAACTTAAATTGCTGTTAACTTAATTATGAATATGAACATTCGATGTTTCCTTATAAAAGATCAGTATATGAACATTTAATTCATCAATATTAAACAGACATTATGCAAGAGCTAAATCTGTCAATTGCAGGTCTTTCTTTAGGCCTGGAATGTTATCTAAATTATTAATTAGACATTAATTAACTTATCCAGACCATAATCAACGCTCGATGGCATCGCTAGCCTGTGATATATACTGGATTAGAGCCCAGTCTGCTACTTCTGATTAAATCAAAAAATGGATAATCGAGACCATGTTTTTTTTTATCGTACCGAGCTTAGTAATGATGATCGAGGCTATGCCCAAAATTCAATCACTAAATTCTCGGTTCAGGGTGGATCAATTTGACTGAAATTTTCAGCAAATTCCCTTTATATTATCTAGTTTTTAACTATTATAATGAGAACTGCTAGCTCCTTCTGTAATCTCCCATAATTTTATTTATAAATACTTGTATGAATATCCGATTCTTCTTTATATTTACTTTTGTAATTTTTTCGATTTTATTCAGAAACCGAGAAAATTATGAATACATGTATGAGAATCCAATTCTTCTTGTTTTAATTGAATGTTATGATTTTGTCTATTTTATTCAGAGTCCAAGGAAAACCGAGGAAACTCAATGTTTACATATGAACGAAGTAACCTTTCAGATGTTGCAGAAATCATTTTTATGTCAAATGCCTGCTTTGTGGCTATGTCAGTCTTCAAGTGATTATATCTATCTGTTTAAAACTGAAGATAAAAGTGTAACATACCATTTAACCATTGACAAGGACTTGAATTGTGAAGTACAATATAATAATTTTTGTTTCCTGTTCAAATTAAAGTTACATCTATAGATTTACTTACAAGAACTGTTGAGAATATGAAGATATGTAGGGGCATAACATCAAAACATTTACAGTCTTATTCTCAATGTCAGCCTACAACTGTAATATATATTAGACAGGTTGATCTTTTCATGAACACAAATAAGTCAACATATAAATTACGAAAGCTGTGTACTTGCTCTGTATGTAATAGTTTTGTTGAGGACACTCAAAAAGAAATTTGTTTAAGTTGTCGACAGATTAACAGAGATTTACAGAGAAAGTAAATAGCAATAATAATAGTTTATTTCACATATATGGCTACATAGCACATTGCATATTCAGATTTTGATTGACAATATATAATTCAAAGAATCAATATTTACATACTTGTAAATGTAATTTACAATTCAAAAATAGCTTAGCAATAATATATAGTTGCCATATAAACGAGCAAAAAGTGGTAGAATATAATCATGTGGTACGAATTTGATTAAAATGTAGATTTCACTCCATTTTGATTTATTTCTTCCAACTGACTCCACTCCACATAGATTTGAGGTCAAATGAGAAGTAAAAGAGTTAAACTGTGATCAGTGATGTCAGGTATTTTATTTACAGCACTTTGCTGCAAGCATTTCACACAATGAAAGTAACAAAAACACAGGTTATACAGATAATTTCATACAACAAAATAGAAAGTGTATAATTAAACTAAACATTTCCTGGCTCTATTGGAATCAATATCGATATTGGAAGTATAAAAATATAAATGTGATTGAGAGAGAGAGAGAAATGGGGTTTAACGTCCACTCGACACAAACTAGGTCATTTCGGGACTAACATATGGTTTAATTTTATTTACTTAATTCGCTTGCGCGTAGGGGTCTTTAGCAGTGGGAGGAAACCGGAGGACCCGGAGAAAACCCACGAGGTTGGACAGGCGACCCTACTCCTTGTCACGTACAACCGGGGATTCGAAACCACGCCAGTCGACTCAATGACAGACTTTATGATACAGCGCGCGCACGCTAACCATTCAGCCATCCAACCCCCCTAAATGTGATTGAATCTAGGATTAAATCTAGAACTTAATCAGCAGTGTTCTACAGATTTTTTATTTCTTGTTATTACTGTATTGTAGATAATAAGTAATGAAAAGAAAACAAGGCCCCAAGTTCACAAAGCATTCTCAGTCTTAAGTTAAGGTTTTACTCAAAATTGTTTGTCTTATTTTAACTTAAATATAGCACTTTACTAACTATTGTTGTTTTAATGTAAATATATCAATAAGAAACTATGTGCAAAGTTTTGTGTTTCTGGATCAAAGATATTTCTCAAAAACAGTGATTGAAAGTTGAGCAAATTCTTAAGTCTGGGAATGCTTTGTGAACTTGGGGCCAGGTTGATAATTGTAAACAAAATATATCGAGACGCAATGAAATAGCACCTCTGAGATGACGTGGCATAACTTTGCACCTTCCACAGTTGCACAAAACCTAGCTTTTTAAAAGCTGCATTATATACCCCACGTGTGTACCAGAAAAATCAACATACTGATTCTGTTGGGTTTAATTTTTTTGATTGAGAATTGTTCGGGGTGCGTTTACACAATCTTCAAAACATTCTCACATGTTATCATCGTAATATGATGTTGTTACATCCTTAATTGCAAGATTAAAGCAAATCTTTAAAACAAAATTGAGCTGAAAAGTACTAAGTAGGGTGTTAAACCTGGATTCACTTCTAAACAAGATTTACATTCATCCATTTATAGAAGTGATGTATTATTTTTATTGCATCTCAGTATAAAATATTAACAATGATAACAAAATTTATACAAATTTTATACAGGTGCACTACTTGTAATGTGTGAGCTTTATAAATGTATTAAATTATTCTTAAATATACATTATGTAAGATTTTGATAAAGAGCTAGCCATTCTTGCTATAATAGTTCGAAGATAAATAATGTAAAATGAATAATTTGAAAATTTCATTCAAATTACTCTATTGCGAGCGAAGATATTAGCCTTTGAAGGTTTGACAAGACGTGTGCAATAATTTCAACCATCGTACTGGTTGTTCGAAGTAAAGTCTCACTCCTTCATTTTTAGCTTAAATCAAAATATGGCTGAACTGTTCTAATCTATTTAATATTGGAGAAATCCGATGCTATCGAGAGTTGATTAGGGCCTGGATAAGTTAATTAATGTCTAATTAATAATTTAGAAAACATTTCAGGCCTAAAGAAAACCTGCAATAGGCAGATTTAGCTCTTGCATAATGTATGTTTAATCATTATTATCATAAGCTTATGGATTTTTTTGTGCATTTCTATTTGCCTTTAGTGTTTATCAATGGTCATTATCTGTTAAATTCACAAGTTTTATTTAACAAGCATCACTGTCATGTGAATAAAATATCTTTGAACAGAGCCTTGGATCATTCCAACCACATATTGTTGTTCTTGTTTTTTAAATTAGTTATCTTGAATAGTAATTTAACCATTTGTTCCAAATGATGATAAACTTATACTAGAAAATGCACAGGCAGATGAACAGTTTTGATGTATAATATTCCTTGTTGGGGTTAAACTCGATTGAGGTTCGGCAAACCCTTGGGATCATGTGAACATCAGATCATTTTTCATATAACCACTACTTGAACTTTCCCATAAAATTAAACTGGATTAGTTTGAATCTTAAAAAGAAAATAAATAACAATGAAAACAACGTAAATAAAAACCAAACAAAATCAATAGCTATGAATTAAAATTACCAGTGTAAATCTGTACACAACCAAAGACTGGGTTGGAGGTTATAATTTCCCTCACAATTTTATCTAATTACGAGCTTGATACCAAATTAATACAGTTCTTTAAAGGCTCAATACCACTCTTGTTGTAACTGAATAATATGCCCCAATCTTTATTCTGGTCAACAAATTTAACTATTTTAGAATATTTCAATTAATTGATGATACAAATTTCATCTTAACACACCTTATTTAAAAAATTTGAAAAATTCAACATAATGGTTTGAAACGTCTAACGTAAACCTTTTCAAATGAAACTTCGATTTAAAAATATTTTCGAACCCTCTGGACAAGTAAAATAGGATGTAATGGATAATTTACACAACAGGTGGGACACTTAAACATCTAGTACTTAGATAGAGATATTATTTATTTTCTGGAGCTTTCAAGCCAGCAAGAGTGTTATTGTCCCTTTAAAGTAAATATTATACAAAATAAAAGAAACTGTTCCAAAGCAATTTGGGATCACGTGGCTAAGTGGGTAAGACGCTGGCTCGCTAGCCTGGAGGTCGGGTGTTCGATCCCTGCATTGGAAGAGAAAGTTCATCCAGATTTTCCGGCGTGGTTCCCCCTTGTCAGTGATGCAGTACGGAGGGCCTGACAAGGACAGCTGTCTAATCCTTCGGATGATACGAAAACCCGAGGTCACCTGTATACATTGGAATGCACGTAAAAGATCCCTTGGCAGTTGGAATTGGATATAAGAATAGGTGATAGTGCCGCTGCCCGGGCAAAATTTCCCTTAAATCACACCTTATGGCGTATGCCCGTCTTCATTAGCCCAGCATAGGAGCGCAGAACAGTAGGACGTTAAACCCCATATCATTTCATTTCCAAAGCAATTTGATCGTTTGAGAAGAAAAAAAATATATAGACATGGTCGGGACTATAATGAGTTTCAAAACTTGCCCATTTGCTACGAACACTATGTGACTATATGTATGTATGTTGTATATGTAGAAAACTTACGGATGCTACTGGAACGACAGGTTGAGATGTCTCAAACAAATCTTTAGCAAAGAAAAGCTGTAGTAAAGAATAAACATTTTTTTTTTATAAACAATATTTTTATTCAGGATGTCTGAATGGGATTGGGGAACAGGCTTAGCCTATGTAAAACCCCTCGTTATAAACAGGAAAAGGGCACTGGGAAACCAGCCAAAACTGGCACGGACATGCCATAAATCTAACAACAATATACACAAAACAATAAATAAAAATAATAACAAGTCCTAAATAAAATGTGAATGTCATCATAATTTATTAATAATAATTTTATAATATGTAGTAGAAAATGATACACAAACGTGTGTTCGGATAATTTAATGTCCGAAAATAAATGGTTTATACTCCCGATGGTATGTTATATAACTAATTTTAAAAAAACTCATTAAAATTATGAATAACTTACATCTATTACACCGTCAAGTTCTTGAAATTCCAGGGCGTCGTACGCTTCTGCCATGTTGACATACGGCCGGAAGTTACTTGTGCCTTATTGACTTCGCGCATGCGATGTACAGCATAATTGTGTCATCACCGTTATACGTCACCGAGTGGGTGTTCCCGTTAGTATTCTAGTTCTATGATTCCTCAAAATGTTACTTTAGTCAAATGAAACAAGAAATTCATAACTATGTGGGTATGGGGTGCGGGGGTAGGTGAGTAAATTCATCTGAATAGCCTAATACAACAACTTTGAAATTGCATCCAGACAGGGGCATGTTCAGAAATTTGAGCAGCGGGGTTACAAATGTGGGAACAATGTCAAATTTGGCCTGGGGTTTAGGGGATTACCGGAGAAGTTTGTGAAATCTAAGATAATTATTTTGCTCATTTAGATGCATACGGGTAGTGAGGCCAACAGGGTGGTAAGGCTTCGCACGTTTTATTTCATACGAAAATAATTGTGTAGAAAGACCCCTCTCCCACTTTACAATTACGTAACACGATATGAGCATCAACACATAAGATATAATGTGATTCAACTGAATGATTATATTGTACAAGTGTAATTCTGCTGTATTTTGTTAAATGTTTGTGGGTGAATAAATTAAAACACGACTGTGATGGTTGTTAATATGACTATATTTTTTGGTTAACAATAAACAACATACAGTGCAACACACAATTACTTATTCTTATGTCTTACGTCGAGCTGAAAAAAAAAACACCTATATGATTTATTGTAATTAAAACCTCAGTGGTTGGTA